GGGGCAGAGCATTAGGAAAATCAACCGGGAAAGAGACAGGAGGTCACGGGCTGAGCCAGGACATGCATTTTACTGAGGGAGCAGAATGGGGACAGAGGGTCACTCTACGTTGAATAGAACAGTTTCTTTTTATCTGCATCTGCTCTGTCCCCATATGCATTTTGATTTTGAACTGCTCTTCCTACTCCAGTCTTCTCTTATAGCCAATCTAAGCCTTTGGTGAGATGGATTTTTCTGAAATACGAATCAAACCATGTCATTCTTCTGTTTAAAACCCACCATTGGTTTTCCTTGTCTTAGGATAAAATCTTATCTTCTCAGCCTATCATAGAAGAGCTGTGGTGAATATACACTCGCCCGCCATCCAGCTTCTTCTTCCTCTTCCAGGTTCCTCTTCCTCACACCATATCTCTTATAATCCAAGGCACACAGCAGCCTTTCTCAAGTTTCCATGTCTTTGCTTGGGCCTTTCTCTTTAACTGGAATGTCCTTCCTACTTCTATTTCTTATTATTTTTTTAAAGCTCGCTCATGCTTGAAGACCTATTTCAGGGATCATCTCCTCCAGAACTGCCTCCCTGAATCCCCAGCTGGCTCAGCACCCTCCCTGGGTCTCCACAGCATTCTGCCCTTACCCTCACATTTTATAGGAAAACTATCTATTTTTGTGTCTCTTTCTACTCCTACTCAAGTGTACCTTTGTGGGCAAACACTGTGTCTCATTTTTCATTTTACCCAGTGGCATGTAGTGGCAAATCACAGGCGTTCGTCAATATTTGTTGAGCTGAATGATGAGAAGGAGAGTATTCAGGTGAGTGACTGGAGAAGGCAGCTAGCAATAGCCCTATAATCCTGGGGACTCTGAAGCTCTGTCAAGTGGCTAGTGTCTTCTATGTGGGGACAACAACACAGCCACATTTCTCCTGAGTCCTTGTCAGACTGGAAGCTGACTGGAGCTATTGATGTTCTACACCAAAAAGGGACATTTTGGTGAAACTAAACGGTCAAAACAGTATATTTTATTCCATTTCCCTGTGTGTTTTGGCTCTATTAATGATATTTTTGCCTTATAATTTGAGTAAATGATTTAAATAATTTTTACTTCTAAAATATGAAAATCAAAATATTACTAACTACAGAGGGTTGTTGTAAAAATTAAAGGTAGCATGATGTGTGTGGTAAATACTTTTAAATGGCAATTTTTAATAATCTCTTTCTCAAGTTGAGTTCTATTCCTGTGTCTGGGACTTTAAGAGGGTGAGGCGACCCCCTAGAAGGTTAGAATCTGTTTTAGTCTTTGTTTGGACCTGGACCAATGGCATTAAAAAAAAAAAAGATGATTGGCTTGGTCATTAGAGCTGTCCCCTTACAGTCTAATAATACCTCAGCCAGAATCTATTTTCTGATGGGGCCAGAAAAAGCAAGTAGGCACTCCTAGCGTTTTCCACTTTCAACTCCAAACAGTGGTGCCGGTGCTTCCTAGCCAGCCACTTTTCTGTCTTTTCCTTTTGTTCTTGCCTTGTTTTCTTGGAAAAACAGCCTCCAAATCTGGCCCCGTGACAGTGTGTTGTCCATGAGAACCAGGCATCACAATGTGCCTACAGGCCCCTCTTAAGTCTCCAGCTGCACAGAGTAAGTAAGAGTGCTTGCCCTGTTGATCAGGACAACACTCACCATGTTGCCCCATGTACTTTCTCACCTGTGGATGCCTACCCACTCGAGGATGCCACTCTCTGTCACCGTAGGCTCTTGATTAAAAAGCTGCTTTGGCTGTGCTCATCTCCCATATGGGGCTTATGAGAATCTGCTAAATCAAAGGTTTTGAAGTAGAGCCAAGAAGCCAATGTACTAATTTCCCAAGGGTGAATGAGTATTAGACTTGTGAATGGGGACCTCTGTGCACATCACAACTCCCCAAGACCATTTTTAACCTTCGAATGCTATGCTGAACATTATGAAGCCCTCTGCTCTTCTATAGTCACCTCATGACCCCTTTATCCTCTGAGTGAGGTCAAAGGTAGAGGGCCCAAACCACTGTTATGAGGACTGGTTTCTGGACTAGTGTGGGCTTCAGCACTTGGGTGCTGTTCTAGATAATATGAAGGGGAGTTGATCCACAGCTTTTTGGAAAGAAGGCTTTTGTAGTTAAGAGTAGACACTAGACATATTTTGTCCTGGAAGGACCTCACTCAATGGATAAAGAGGACATGAGATGACCACAGAGGGACAGAGTGCTTCAAGATTTTCAGCATCACATTCAAAGGTTAAAAATAGTCTTGAGATCTGCCTGTCTGAGTGTGAGCTTTGGAAATTTAAAGAGAGGCTACACAATCCCTAAAGAAGAGTCATCACTTGTCTGTGAGATCTTTACATATTTCTTCAAAGCAATTAGCAATAATTTTGATCATAAAATAGCTTTTGAAGAAGGTTGATTGATCTCTGAGGAAACTTCTTTTGGTGGCTACATTTATTCATTTCAAAAGCACACATTTACGGAACACTGCTAAAACCGCCTTAGGATCCCACAGTAAATAAGAGAGCCCCAGTCCCTGTTCTTATGTCATCACGGCCTAATGGATAAGATATTAATATCTAACACTGGAAAATAAATGTAAAATTTCAAAGTATCCAAAATGCCATCGAGGGAGAGTCCAATGACAGTACATTACAGAGAAAACTGCCCATTTTTAGCACTGACGGGAAGTTTTTGTTTGTCTCAGAAATTGACACTTGGTTGATACCAAAGCGTTGTCATGATTGGAAGGTACAGAGAAGTCTCATTTCAGGCATGAATCATGGCATGTGCAAAAGTTCTGATGTGGATGCTGGCTTGTATCATCAGGGTGAAATGAAGGAAGGACATTGTTAAAATGTAGTGAGAGAGTGACAGAAGGTGAAGTGGGAAGATAATGAAAGATGTATATCCTACAAGGCTTTTACAGGTCCTGGCAGGGAATCAAGGATTTAAATCAAGAGAAAAAAAAAACACGACAGAGCTTCAGCTAAGGGGATGGTATGCTTAAATCTGTTTTGTGGAGTTTATTTATTTATTATTATTATTATTATTATTATTATTATTATTGTTGTTGTTGTTGTTGTTACTGTGGTTGACTGGGAATATTGCTCAGTGGTAGAGTACTTGTCTAGCATGTGCGGGCTCTTAAGATTTTAAGTCCCACAATCCCAATATTACTATTGCTGAGCAAGGAAAGTGGAACTGAGATTTATTTTTCTGACAAGAGGTAGGGCTTTTCGTTAGAAGGTCTGTGGAGTAAGGAGCAGCAGGTCTGTGGAGTAAGGAACAACGGTGGCTTGGACCATCATGGTAGGTGGTTAAGATCAGAAAGAGAGCTAATAAAACTTAGTGCTGGAGTGGATACAGAGCAGGAGAAGGGAGAGGAATGATTGCAAACTAACACTTGTTATCTAGTAGACAAATAGCTAGTTGACTGGGGCAGAACTTGCAGAAATGAGACCCAACGGAGAAAGAAGAGCTGACGCAGAAGATTAGAACCTTGACTCCTTTAACTTTAAGGTGCTGTGCAAAGGATGTCCATATTCCTACATTTCTAGCTCCACTCACAGGATTTTAGTGGAGCAGAAAGGGCGGCTTGCTCATAAAAATTACATGAACTCAGTGGCTGGCTCTTTAATCACCTCCCCCTGAGGGGGGGAGCAGCCTTGCCAGGCCACAGAAGAAGACTAAGAAGGACAGTCCTGATGAGACCTGATAGGCTAGGGTCAGACAGAAGGAGAGGAGGTCCTCCCCTATCAGTGAACTGGGGAAGGGGCATGGGAGGAGATGAGGGAGCGAGGGCAGGATTGAGAGAGGATAAGGGTGGGGCTACAGCTGGGATACAAAGTTAATAGATTGAAATAAATAAAAAATTATGTTAAAAAAAGAACACTGATCACAGCACTTGGGAAAACTCCCACATGCCTATAGGCATATGCTATAGCCATACAATAAAATACTACGAGATATTCAAAACAAAACAAAACAAAAAATAATGACTTGGTTGTTTTTATTCCTGGTCTGTCTGAGCGAGCCAGTAAGTGAAATTCTCAAATGCTCAGAAGCTCATAGCCTTAGTTGACAATACCGAGAGTCCTTTAGTCTCAACACAAAGTCAGTACTCAGTGCTTTGAGCCCAACAGATGAAGCTGTATGGCACCACCAAATATACAAGTCTTGAAAAAAGCATATATGAGAGATGCTCACGCATTTTAATCCTCACAATTTCTACTCCTTGACCCCTTCCATGTTGTCACGCTGAGTTCAGTGGCTAAATGATCAGCGTATCCATAGACAGTTCTCAGCACAGAGGGGTCCTGAAAGGTGCAGTGGGCAGTGTCAGAGGCACGCCTTGCATAGTTTCGGTTTAGCTACAGTACAGGCAGCATTAGCTGTGAAATCAATTTTAGTACTGTTTTCTACTCAGAACTCCTGGCTGCCTCCAGAAGCTTTGTGTTTGAGGAAGGAGCTTCTAAACCCCTGAGAGCTCGATTACACACAGAACAAGGTGTGCTATATCAGGAGACCAGCCCATCAAAAAACATGCTCAATTCAACATATATGCTTGGAAACCTGAGTTATGCAAGATTCTTGAGTATGAACACAGGGCAAGGAAGACTGAAAGTTCTAGCAACAGTGTACGTGGGAAGGAAGACTTGAGGACTGAGCGCCTATTTTAAGTTGATTCTAGGGGCAAGTAGTGCTACAACTCAGGGACTAGGAGGAATCACTAGGGTTTCCATCCCTAGTCTTGCCAGTTATTTCTGATCACTCTTCAACTGAGTCTCCACCAGATGGTTATTGAGGACAGAGAAGCTATTTATGTCTCCCATTGACATCTATTTTTCCAAGTGAGAGACGGACCCATATGTCAGTGCCATATGTCAATCGAGGTGAACCATCCATTTGTGTTGGTGGGAACCTGCCAATGATTGCCCCTGTTTTCTTCTCACACCTTTTCCTGCCTCTCTGATTTTTTTCCCTAGGTCTCAGGCCTGTCGAGGAAGACCATTGGTGCTGTGGTGGATTCAGATTCTAAGTCTTGTGTATGGCGTGGTTACGGCTGCAGCCTCTCACCTCTGCCTTCCTCCATTTTGGGCTGGTTACTTTTGTGCTCTTCCTGAATGGTCTTCGAGCAGAGGCTGGTGACTCGGGGGATGTGCCCAGTGCAGCGCAGAACAATGAGTCCTGTTCAGGGTCATCGGACTGCAAAGAGGGTGTCATCCTACCAATTTGGTATCCAGAGAATCCTTCCCTTGGGGACAAGATTGCCAGGGTCATTGTCTATTTTGTGGCACTGATATACATGTTTCTTGGGGTATCTATCATTGCCGACCGATTCATGGCATCTATTGAGGTCATTACCTCCCAAGAGAGGGAAGTGACAATCAAAAAGCCCAATGGAGAGACCAGCACAACTACAATTCGGGTCTGGAATGAAACTGTCTCCAATCTGACCCTGATGGCCCTGGGCTCTTCTGCTCCAGAGATTCTCTTGTCCTTAATTGAGGTATGTGGTCATGGGTTCATTGCTGGTGATCTGGGACCATCTACCATTGTTGGCAGTGCAGCCTTCAACATGTTCATCATCATTGGCATCTGCATCTATGTGATCCCAGATGGTGAAACTCGAAAAATCAAGCACCTGCGAGTCTTCTTCGTCACTGCTGCTTGGAGCATCTTTGCCTATATCTGGCTCTATATGATCCTGGCAGTCTTCTCTCCCGGTGTGGTCCAGGTTTGGGAAGGCCTCCTCACTCTCTTCTTCTTCCCAGTGTGTGTCCTGCTGGCTTGGGCGGCAGATAAACGACTGCTTTTCTACAAATACATGCACAAAAAATACCGCACAGATAAACACCGAGGAATTATCATTGAGACAGAGGGTGACCACCCTAAGGGCATTGAGATGGATGGGAAGATGATGAATTCTCACTTCCTAGATGGGAACCTGGTACCCTTGGAAGGGAAGGAGGTAGATGAATCTCGAAGGGAGATGATCCGGATTCTTAAGGATCTGAAACAAAAACACCCAGAGAAGGACTTAGATCAGCTGGTGGAGATGGCCAATTACTATGCTCTTTCCCACCAACAGAAAAGCCGTGCATTCTATCGTATCCAAGCCACCCGGATGATGACTGGGGCAGGCAATATACTTAAGAAGCATGCAGCGGAGCAAGCCAAGAAGACCTCCAGCATGAGTGAGGTGCACACTGATGAACCCGAGGACTTTGCCTCCAAGGTCTTCTTTGACCCGTGTTCTTACCAGTGCCTGGAGAACTGTGGAGCTGTCCTCCTGACAGTGGTGAGGAAGGGAGGAGACATGTCTAAGACCATGTATGTGGACTACAAAACAGAGGATGGCTCTGCCAATGCAGGGGCAGATTATGAGTTCACAGAGGGCACTGTGGTTCTGAAACCAGGAGAGACCCAGAAGGAGTTCTCTGTGGGCATCATTGATGATGACATTTTTGAAGAGGATGAACACTTCTTTGTGAGGCTGAGCAATGTCCGTGTAGAAGAAGAGCAGCCAGAAGAGGGGATGCCCCCAGCAATACTCAACAGCCTTCCCTTGCCAAAAGCAGTCCTGGCCTCCCCTTGTGTGGCCACTGTAACCATTTTAGATGATGACCATGCAGGAATTTTCACTTTTGAATGTGATACCGTTCATGTCAGTGAGAGTATTGGTGTTATGGAAGTCAAGGTTCTGAGGACATCGGGTGCCCGGGGCACAGTCATCGTCCCTTTTAGGACAGTAGAAGGGACAGCCAAGGGTGGTGGTGAGGACTTTGAAGATACATATGGGGAACTGGAGTTCAAGAATGATGAAACAGTGTAAGTAACTATTTTGTATTTTATTCTTCCATAGCCCGTCCCACAGCATCTCTCTCTATACTTTGGAACCCCTCCTCACAGTACTCCCTTGTGTTAGTGTTAATCCCAAACTTTGCTTTCGTCACAGGTATGAGGGGTCAGCAGACACTACTGGACAAGTCCTGCCTCCAAGTCCTCCTTCAATTTTCATTTTCCAAATTGTTTCTGAACAAAGAGTCTTGTGACACAATCTAAGGACACAGAATGTCTTGCCCATTGCAACTCAAAATGATGTGTGATAAAGGTGTGAGGTGACAGAAGCTTTTGTAATATCTTGAAGGATTCTTGTGGCCAAATGAGAGCTAGGAAAGTACACAGACTTCTCCTTCCTCCCTCTTCCATACCAAAGGTTATGAGTTTGGAAACTTATTATTGTAGGATGATGATAGTCTGGTCAGAATATTCTCCAGAAAACAGTTGGCATTGGTTTATTTCCCCTCAGGACCACGATGCAGTTGTGTTACACAGGCAAATCCCAAACACTACTCTTTCTATTTGGAAATTGAAACATCTGATTGAAATTTGGCGATGCCTTTGAGTATATCCATGTGCTACTTTGTGGAACAAGGCTTGTCTAACCCAAATGAGGCAGGTCAACATGACTGGAGTGCTGGAAGTGCCATAGAGAAGAACTCTTAGTGCCACTGTCTTTCGCCTCTAGGCTTGAGTGTAAGCTCCAAATTTTGGCTATGTGGTGAAGGGGATCTATGGGACAGAATTCATCTTCTGTGTGCTCCTCTGTTTCACAGTCTAGACCTACTCTGAGCTATTTCACCACTTGTTGCTCCTCCATTTGACCCCTCAGAACCTGAGAAACTGTTGTTCTGTCATCTCTCCTCACTGAACCTTCCTGCAACTGGGGCATTCTGTCCTCTGCTTGCATAGATAGCGTTGGTGGGAGGGGGGAGGGCAGTGAATGGCTTTCTTAGCTTATGGCAAGATCAGCTTTTCAGGGAAGCTTAGGAGGATGCTGATGAGGAAGGGACCTATCTCTGGGCACCTGTTATTCTCACAGGCAGGAGATGGTGTGAAGAAGAGAAGTGCAATGGAAAACTGCTCCAAGAACCTGTAGCTGTGGGAAATTGAATCATTCAGAAAACAAGGGAAAGGACTCATGGAAAGGGGGTTTGCAGGGCATCCATGGGCTCCAGGAAAGGTGCTTTTGAACCTTTTTTTTTTGGGGGGGGGAGTCCAGCCATGGCACAATGCTCTAAAAGGTATGTGTTCTGCTGGCACCGGCTGGGTGACCCAGGAGATTCTGCTGCTGTATTTTCCAATATATTCTGACTGTGGACAAGTCACTTAGAAACTCCAAAAGGAAACCCTCTCATATAAAGAGTGAAAGTAACAATACTTTCCTTGCCTGGAGGCAAAGTCAGATTACCTTCCTCTTCCTTTCTGCTCTAAGATATTCCAAACACAAATGTAGGAATTGAGTGTAAGTCATTTCCACTTGCTAAAAGAATAGGGCAGATGATACTGAGTCCTGTAGGGAAAAAGCTGTCAGCAGATTGATTTGTTAGAACACTGTTTAGTAATTTTTGCTGAGAAGGATAATCATTTGTTAGCATAAGAAAAACTCATGTCTTCCAGAGAATACTAGCCATTTCTATATGCTCTAGGGAAAGTATTCACGCATACAAATAAAGCCAGGCTCTCAGTGGGAAGATGAACTTTGGGGAACTTCACATGTTTATGGTAATGTTGGCGAGAGTGTGTCCATTTTCAGGTATTAGATGACATCAAATCCACACAGTCTTCTGCAATGGGCTAGATTTGAGGGAAGTCACATTCAATATTTATCTTGCAGTGCCATGGAAAGTCAGTTTGTGGAAGGTCAGAAATTGGTCCCCAATTTCTTCATTTTTCCTAATGATCAGTTACCCATCTAGGGTCTGTGAGCATTACTACACTTTCTCCAAACTCATATGTGTGTGTGTGTGTGAGAGAGAGAGAGAGAGAGAAAGAGAGAGAGAGAGAGAGATTTATGAGTATATGTGTGGTTTGTGTGTATGTCTGTGTGTGGTTTGTGTCTGTGTGTGTATAGCTTGTATGAGTGTGTGGTTTGCCTGTGTGTGTTGATGTGTGTGATTTGTGAATATGTGTGGTTTATATGTGTGTCTGTGTGTGTGTGACATATTTGTGTATGTGTGGTTTGTGAGTGTGTGTGGTTTGTGTGTGGGTCAGTGTGTGTGGCTTGTTTGTGTGAGTGTGTAGTTTGTGTGTCTGTGTGTCTCTGTGTGTGGTTTGTGTGTGTGTGGCTTGTTTATGTGTGTGGTTTGTGTGTCTGTGTGTCTGTGTGTGGTTTGTGTGTGTGTAGCTTGATTGTGTATGTGTGTGGTTTGTGTGTGTGTGTGTGTGTGTGTGGCTTGTTTGTGTATGTGGTTTGTGTGTATGTACATGCTCATGCATGTGCCCATGTGCCTCGATGAACAAGTTTATGTTTTTAATCTATCCCTTTGCCCTGCTGTTTGACGTCAGGATGGTTTGATCCTTTGGCTTTCCTTTACTGCAGAATAGCAAACCCAAAGCACATTAGCCTATTGCTGGGCAGCCACCTGCCCACGGTGCTTTAAACTGTAACTTTATGACCTGTGTGGCAATGCCACAGAGCAGAACAACCATGGGCTCTGAATCCTTTTGGCCAGAAGTCTAACTTCTCTGCTGACTTACCCACACAAGTTAGGAAAAAGATGTATTTCCTATGATGTAATAACATCTGTCTTGCAACACATCCTGTCATACTTCGGGATGCTCTGGCTTCATGGTGTGTGTTCGGTAAACAAGGTTGGCAGCAGTGTGATGAATGAACAGTGTTTTCAGGAGACACTGTTGAGGAGATCAAGTTGCTTTGGATCTCTGTGTGACTGGTCCCTATGAAGAATTCTCACCTGAGCTTATGAAATATTAGATCCTAGACAGGGCCATTCACCTTCTAGAGCACTCGCTCCTTAAGCATTGTTGAAAATACACATCACAACACAAACATCTAAAGTAGAACATTTCCCATAACCTCACAATGCTGCTGCCCCTCCACATATAGGGAAAGAATATGAAGGTCCTGACCAAACCATGAGACCTAGAAATGAAACCAGCTTTTTAAGTAACTTGCTTAATTGAGTCAAGAATGAATACTTTGCAGTTCTAGCTTTCAAGCCCAACATAGCAATAACTCAGCTCTTACCAAGGCCTTCCTGATTGCAAAGCCATTCTGGGAAGTGAGTCTGACACCTTCGGGTACTTGGGCAGGAGCTGAGTGATCTTTGGAAGGATCTCTCTTTTGAGTCCTCCTCTTTTGAAGCCTTTTCACCCAATAAATATCAATATTAGACGTTTGCCTTGACTACAGCCATCTGGGTACTTCAAGTTATGTGCTCTACCAGGGACCCTGGAACCAGGGAGATGGCTCTGTGGGTGAGCGCGCTTGCTGTGCCAGTGTGAGAAGCTGAGTCTGAATCCCTAGTACACACAACATGAACGCATAGTGTGAGCACCTGTAATCCCAGGGCCCCTGCGGAAGATGGAAGATGAAGACAGGAGAATCCTGGAAGTTGGCAGGCCAGCCAACCTGACGTATACAGTAGAAAGACAATAAAGAAATCCTGTCTCAGACAAGGTAAAAAGGTGATGACTGACAGCCAAGATTGGCTTCTGATTTCTGTGGGTGTGCTATAGAATGCACTCCTACATTCACACATACTAATGCTTGTGTGCACACACCAGATCCATGATTGTGTCCTCCTTTACGGCATCTATAGCATTGTGGTATGATGGAAAATCCTGAACCCTGAATTCTGACAAATGGATATGAACCCACCCCTCACTGGCAGTGTAACTTCGCATAGTCATGTCATCTGCATGGGTTCTAGAGATTTGTATTTTGCTGTTGTTGAAGAAACAATAGGATTAATATTATCTATCAACCTGCAGCATAATGATAAGTACAAAATACAAATAGGATAAAAATGCACCTTCAGCACAGTGCGTTCTCCTAGGAGATGCTCAGTCTTTCAACAAATGTTTACTCTACGTTTGTTATGTATTAGTACGTTGCTAGGCACTGAGGGTAGAGAAATGAGACAGGCTGGCATTTCATCTCTCCGGGATCTCACTCTCAGGAAACAAAAGGATCCATGTATACACACAAATGCAGTCACATGGAAGAATGGTGTGTTTGAGATAGAGTCAACAGAAGGGGAGCAAGAGCTCCTTATTGTGTGTGTGAGATACCACTCAGTTATTGAAGAACCTTCATGAAGGGCACATGAGTAATTAAAGTGGAATGGGTTGGTACGGGGCTGACTTATACCTGTATTACAGTGAACCCTGGGTGTTTTGTGATGGATTCTGCCGATGTCTTCATGATCCAGGAGAGTCCTAGTTTTATGACAAGAATTATAGCTTGTAAGTCCACAGCAAATAGTAACAATACCTCTTGGAGATATGAGTTTTGCCTGAATGCTAATTTCACTCCTTAAACAAGCGACTGGCTCTTATATGTCTCAAGATCACAGCACGCTTCTGCAAAATAACAGGTTATTGCAGCTTACAGACATTTGGGGGGTCTCTGGGAATAGTCAAAGCCACAGATGTCAACTATGCAAATGGCAGGATCTACTATAATTAAATAGCAGAGGCCTCCTTCAAAGAAGAACACAGTATTGGCTGGGCTGCACATGTTCCAAACAAATTATATGTTCAAGCTGGAAGTTATTTGACCTCTCATTTTACAAATTATAAAGTTGAATCCTAAGAGCAAAAGCACTTTTCCCAATATTGCGTTGGATATGATGGAAAGCTGGGGTTGGGGAGGACATTAGAAGCTGCCAAGTTAATGTCCCCTTCTGCTTTGGGCATGTCTGTTTTATTTTTATTCACCAGTAAAATGTTAACTTTGGAAAGAATATGACAATTTGGATGTGAAAGCTACTTGGACGGTGCAAATCTTGGAGTATTATGTG